GGAGGAGGAGGAGGAGGAGGAGGAGGAGGAAAAAGACTGTGAGGTCCTTGGCATTCTCTGAGCTTAGTAGTTTCCTTGCAGACGTTTCATGACCCAAGTAGGGAACGTCATCAGTGCTAGAAGGGAGGGATTGTAGAGAGGAGGAGGAGGAAAAGGAGAATAGAATAGAAAATAGAATAGAAAATAGGAGCTGGAAGGGCCCTTGGAGGTCTTCTAGTCCAGCCCCCTGCTCAAGCAGGAGAACCTATACCATCTCAGTCGTTTTATCATCAGTGCTAGTAAGGAACAGGGTTTGCTGAGGTCTGGGCTGGTTTGAACCTGGTTTAATTCTCTCTGCATCCCCAGTTCAAGAACTTCCCAGCTCTTTAAAAGGCGGGGCCGTTAATTCCTAGGAGTTAATTTTCAGGCAGAGATCTGTGGTTGTTTGGCGCTTTTTTCAATTGCCTTAGGTGTGAACTCTTGTCTTTAAGTCCTCCACATTTTTTTCCCACCCCTGCAAGTTTTCAAACCTTTTTTTTTTTTTTTGCATCCACAAAGAGCGCTTAGAATTGGGTTGTTGTTTTTTTATTTATTTATTTAAATTATTTCCCCTACCAAAGCAGGGAACTTTTAAAACAGAAGCTGACAAGACTGTGTGGGGAAAAATTTGACAACTTGGGCGGGAAAGCCAGAACGGAAAATGAAAAGATGCGAGACTATAAAAAATTTTCTCCTCCAACTTTGTATAATGGCACAAAGGGTTGTGTTTGGGGCTTTGGGTCATGAGAGAATATGTCTTAAAACGCAGAGGGTTTTTGTGTGTGTGTGTGTGTGCATGTTTCCTTTTGTATTTCTAGAAAAAAAAAACACGCTATTTGTATATAAAGAATAGATGGCTACACTGTGGGGGTTTTCTTCCTTGGCACGACGCTTGGATGGCTCAGGGATTTTAATCACAATTAACGCAAACCAGGAGAATATTTTCTGCCTGATGCGTCGGTCTGTGCAAAGGAGTTTATTCTTGAAGGCTTCGGAGGAATTCTGCACTTCCTTGAGCTGATAATTCACACAGCTTCCCCTTTGGAGAAACTTCTGACCTCGTCTGACATGGGAGGAGGTGGCTTTTGAATTCAAATCCCCAGATCAGGGAAGGAGGGGAGAGAGAGAGGGAGGGAGAGAGGGAGGGAGGGAGAGACAGAAAGACAGTGGGAAATAGAGAGAGAAAGAGAGAGAAAAGGAGAAAAAGAGAGAGAGGAAGAAAAAGAGAGAAAGAGGGAAAGAGAGAAAAAGAGAGAAAGTGAGAGGGAAAGAGGGGGAAATAGAGAAAGAGAGAAAGAGAGAGAAAGAGAAAGGGAGAAAGAGAGAGAAAAAGAAAAAGAGAAAGAGGGAAAAAGAAAAAAAGAAAGAGAGGGAAAGAGAGAAAGAGAAAAAGAGAGAAAGAGAGAGAGGGAAAGAGAGAAAGAGAAAAAGAGAGACAGAAAAATAGAGAGAAAGAGAGAGGTACACACATATTTCTGGTATTTGTATATATTTTTATTTATTTGTCTGGTATTTTTAGGCAAAGCAGCTGAATCAACCCCCCCAGCCAGCAGCATTTAGAGCAGAGGTCTCCAAACTTGGCAACTTTTAAGACTTGTGGACTTCAACTCCCAGAATCCCTCAGCCAAATTCTTACCCCGATTTAGAGGGTTGCCTAAATTTGGCTGTTGGGACGTGAATCTCTCTCTCCGCCTAATCTTCCTCCTCCCAGGCCGAGGGCTAAGACTTTCTGCCCCGCCCTGTAGGCTCTTAGAATGTATGATTGGAAGGGACCCCGGAGGTCTTTTAGTCCAACCCCCTGCCCCACTACACCAGGGGTCTCCAAACTTGGCCTGTTTAAGACTTGTGGACTTCCAACTCCCAGAATTCCTCCTCCAGTCATGTTAGCTCAGGAATTCTGAGAGTTGGAAGTCCACAAGTCTTAAACAGGCCAAGTTTGGAGACCCCCGCCCTACACCATGGTGGTCCAATCTCTTCTTGAGAGCCTCCAGGGATGAAGCTCCCACAACTTCCAAAGGCAACTTCTGTTCCATTGAGTATAGAATACAAGAGGTGGAAGGGACCTTGTAGGTCATCTAGTCCAACCACCACCCCCCCCTCAAATATTGGAAGACTGCTATCATGTCTCCCCTGGCCCTTCTCTTCACTAAAATAGCCACCCCCAGTTCCTGCAACCATTCATTGTATGTTTTAGCCTCCAGTCCCCTCATCATCATGGTTGCTCTTCTCTGTACTTATTCTAGAGTCTCAACATCTAATTTTGTGTTGTGGTGCAGGAGCTATGGGTAGGAACTACCTGTCTGACTTTTTTGTGTGTGGGGGGGGAAACAGTCCCACCCAGGTGCACAGCCTCTCCTGGGCATCCCTGCGCCTTGGAGAAGACTCAACCACTACCTGTGTCAACATGGCATTTCCTGGGACCGTAAGGTGCTCCAACTCATGGGTGCTGGAAAGGGGACCAACTTCAGAAAAACAGGGGAGTGTGAGACTATGATGAAATGGGTAGAGATAGATATCTAGGTGTATAAGGTAAATTTTCACAGGCAACAGGGAGGCTCAACCCTTGAGGCCAGCCAGGGCTGCTGCAGGCCACCCACAACCAGCAGAATCTTTAAAAAAGGGACCCTGGAGGGCATCTAGTCCAACTCCCCCTATTACACCATACCAAACAAATGACTGTCAGGTCTTTTTCTTTAAAAACAAACAAACAAACCTCCAGGGGTGGAGCAGCCACATAACTTCAAGTTGTTGGCAAGCCATTCCACCAGTTAAAATTGTTCTAGCTGTCAGGGCTCAGGAAAAGGGGGAGCCAGGCTCGTAACCATTTGGCAGGCCGATCACTAGGAGATTGTGAGTTCTAATCCCGGTTTAGGCGTGGGATGGATAAATGGATTAATGTACGGATTGAATGGATAGATAAATAGATGAAAGGTAGATAGGCAGGTAGATATAAAGATATATATGATAGAGGGGGGGAGGGAGATAAATGATAATTAGATGAAAGGTAGATAAAGATAGATATATGATGGATAGATAGGGGGGGGAGAGGGAGAGATAGATATTTATTGGGGGCCAATCCTGAAATTCCCAAAGTGGTTGGCTTCCCTTCCCAGGACAGAGAGAAAGTGACTCGCCCAAGCTCTGGTTTTATGTGTGTGGGGGGCAGGACTTGAACTTGCATCCTCCCAGTTTCTAACCCCGGTGCTTTAACCACTACACCCCACACCGTTTCCCGCTCCCTGGTTTAATTTGGAGCAGTCCACCCCGCTGTTGCTCCCCACTCTAGGAAGTTTTCTGACAGCTTTTTAGAGCCAAGGATGGCGACGAAAACCAAAATACCCTTGAATTTGTCGACGGAAAAAACAGGTGAGACAACGCAAGCTCTGTGCAAATTTTTTTTCTTTTTACTGACGCCCAAACTGCACACAATGGTTCACATACACAGGGTGGTTCTTCAAACAATGGTTGGCGGGGGGGGAAGGAAAAAAAATTAACTCAAGATTCAACAGCCAGTTTTCAATTTTTTTCTCTCCTTTAAACTGGCAAAGCTGTGGAAAGAGGCAGACAAAACAGCCCCTTCTGAAGTTTTCTCTCTCTCTTTTTTTTTTTTTAAGCAGTTTTCCTTTCTTTCTGGTCAAGTTATTCCACCACCACCCCAGTCAAGTTTATTCTTCTTTTTTTCTTTTTCTTTCTTCTTTTTTAAACATTTTAGAACTTCAACAGCAGCAAAGAGGGTTATTGGTGAAGTTTGGGGTCTTTTCAAGTGCAGGATGAGGTAACTTGGGTTGGAGGCACATTCTGGACACCTGCAACGGACGGAAAAGCAAACCGGACAATGGTCTGGGGTTTAAGGAAACCCTGAAATATTGAGGCAGGGTGAGGCATTGCAAAGTTAAAATCTGGACACCGATAAAAGAGACTCTTTGCTAAGCACTGAATTGTGGCCTCCTGGGGCTGTTTTCTTGCAGCACTAATGATGTTACCTACTTCGGGTAGTGAAACGTCTGCAAGAAAAGTAGAGTCCTGCTCAGGGAGCACCAGAAATGGTGTAGGGTCTCCTGCTTGGGGGGGGGGGTTGTTGGACTAGATGACCTACAAGGGCCCTTCCAATTTGGTTAATCTATAAGTGCATTGAGGACCCCTCCCCCTTAAATCTGAGAAGCAAGACCTCCCCTTGGCTAAAATAAAATAAAAATAAAAATTGGCAGGCTAGGAAATACAACTTCTTAGCCAGCTTCCCAAGAACTCCTATGGGTTTGCAGGCAGTTGGGGGGGTAGTTGAGAAAAAGCCAATTTTTCTTTAAAAAAACAAAAACAAATCTTGGTGCATTTGAGAGATACCTAGCCAAGGAAGCACTTAGTAGAAGAGGGAGAAACTGTGCAAATTTCCATTTGCAAATTTAAGGAGTTCAAGATAATCTGGCAGCTTTCAACACCCCCATCCTCTCCCCACAATTAATCATAATTTTAAAGTAAAAAATTAAAAGTCAGGTGGGGGTTTGTCTGAGGTTAAATGCAACACTCGGAGGGGCGATATATGGTTAGGCCGCTCGCAAAATTCAGTCCCTCTTGAAAACGAAGACTAAAAAGACTTACCAAATCGCAGCTCTTGGCATCCCCTCGGTGTGTGCAGGCTCTTCACGCCAGTAAAGCAGGGGCAAGCTCTCCCCCAGGCTCAGGTGTCTGGGATTTTTTTTTAAAAAAAAGAAAGGAAAACAGGTGTAGGGTCTCTTGTTTGGGCGGGGTGGGTGAGGGTTGGACTAGATGACCTACAAGGTCCCTTCCAGCTCTATCCTGACTGATTGAGTGGACCGTGGGCTGCTACTTGCAGAATGTGGATCAAGAGTGACCCCTGGTGGCGCATAAAGGCATTGCGGGGCCCTTTGCAAGCTAAGGCATTAGAATAACAGAGAGTTGGAAGGGACAATCCTGGAGGTCATCTAGTCCAACCCCCTGCTCGAGCAGGAGAGTCTATGGAGAAGCTGGGGGAGTATTAGCCAGGGGTCCAAGCCCCCCCCCCGCATCCACCCCACCTTGCTTACATCCACAAGCTGTTGCTGGATTTCCGGCAGTGGCTGGGTGGGGCTTTCCTGGGCCGGGGAAGCAGACTTGCTGGCTTCCACCACAGGCTCTTGAGTCATCACAGGAGTGCTGGCAGCTGGGGTGTCCCCGCCAGCAGCTGCGGAGCTGGGGGCCGGCTGCTCCTTAGTATTGGTGGTTGCCTAGGGCAGAAAAGAGGGGACCAGGGGAAGAGAGAGGCTGATACAATCCGGTCAGCAGAAACCTGTACAGAACACGATCCGGTCAGTTTCTGGCAACCTCTACAAAGCCAGGAACAGTTCCCTCCCCGCCATCCCTCTTTCCTTGAAAATTGAGCCCAGGATGTTTCTCCAGAACTACCCCAAATTTCCGCTACCGTTTTTCTTCCGGAACTGGTCTGAACCGGCTGAATTTCCACCTCTTCTGCCCCACCCACCCACCCACCCCGCCCCCAATTTCCCTTGCCCTTCAATTCACCTCAGTCGCCGCCTGGCGAGCTGCTGTCTGCTGGCGCCGGCGCTGGAAGTAAGGCCGGTTGCGCTGCCTTTGAGGCTCGGGACGGATGCCGTCCGCCGGCGCCTGAGCCGCTTTCGTCTCGCCGTCTCCTCCCTCCGTGGTGGGCTGCTGCGGAGGACGGGGGCGAAAAGGTCTGGGCGAGACAATGGAGGGGGTTGAGGTGGGTGAGTGTGAATTGACTCTCGGCCTTCTTCCCCCTTAGGGGGGGGGAAGAGACCATTCCCCAAAGAACTGGAAGCAGAATCAGAACAGAGCCGGAAAGGGACCTTGGAGGTCCTCTAGTCCAGCCCACCTTGCTCAAGCACACCATTTCAGACAAGTCTCTTCTTAAAAAACCTCCAGGGGTGACGCACCCACAACTTCTGGTAGCAAGCAGTTCCCCTGGTTAATTGTCCTCCCTGTTAATTCCAGGTTGCTTCTCTCCTGGGTTAGTTTCCATCCGTTGTTTCTTCTCCTGCCCTCTGAATAATTATTATACTATGCAAAAAGCTTATTCTATTATACTATGTTATAATAAGTATATTATAGTATTAGCCCGATCCCCGTGCTTCATTACGGAACTATGTGGTCGGGCTTAGTTTTTGGGGAGGAAAATAAGGGGGGGAAAATTCTGCCTCTGCCTATCAGCATCCATCGGTATTCATCTGGCTAGCATCCTGTCAGTGTGTGAGAGAGTTGAAGGCTGTTTGGAAAGTGAAAGAGTATTTGCTGTGTGAGCAAGGAGGAGACAGCAAGGAGCCTGGGCGTGGCTTAGCTCAACTGTTCTGGACTAAAGCTGGTTGGAGCTGCTGTGAAACTGAAACTCCTCTGCTTGTGTTTTGCATTTGGAATAAATAAATCTATTTTCAGGTGGGGAGGGGGAGCAGAACTCCTTAGCATCAGAGCGTGTTAATAATAATAACACAGGAAATATTCTAAATGCTCTGAGGGTCATTTCGAAAAATCCTTTCTTAGGGAGCCCCTAGAAGCCAAGAGGAACATAGGTGCCAAATTTCAAGTTTGTAGGCTTTACAGATCTGGAGATTTTGTGATGATGCGTGAGGGGTATTTCCCTTTTTATATATATAGATAGATATACTTATACTATGTGGAAAGGTTATTCTATTCTACTGTATTATAATAAGTATGTTATAGTATAACATACTTATTATACCACGTGGAAAGGTGATTCTATTCTACTATGTTATAATATACTGATTATACCACATGGAAATATAATATAATATAGAATATGTTATAATACAATATACTTATTATAACCTAGTATAATAGAATAAGCTTTCCGCATAGTAGTACAGCCACTGGCAGCTGCTTGCCAGCTTTGTTGAGCCCCTCCAGGAATTGACCTCCACAATTCAACAATCCTGCTAAATAGAATCAGAATTCTTTATTGGCCAAGTGTGGTGAAGCTACGCAAGGAATTTGTCTCTGGTGCATAAGCTCTCATTGCCCCCATTAAGCCACAAGCGATAAACCAGGATCACAATCATGAAATACAATCACCATCTACCATAAGATACCACACCAAATGTAATATAAACGTAATACTAAATGAAGATAGGGGCAGCTGGAGATAGGTAAGAAAGCGCCGTGGTTTGCAAAAAAAATAAATAAAAAATTGGGATGCCAGGTATAATCTAAATGTTTAGCGGCGTTACCCATCCTGGGCACCTTGAAAATGGACGGAGTTCAACTCCCAGAACTCCCTGGCCATCCAAAAGGTTTACCAAAATTCAGCACAAAATTTTGCAAGGTGAACAAACAAACAAAAACAAACCCTTGGTTAGCTGCATGACTAAAAAGGTTAAATGTGGGCTTAGATGGCACGACAATTAAATGGAGGAAGCGATATGCTGGATGGAGGGATTCTGGGAGTTGAAGTCCACCCGTGGGGAGTTGCCCAGGTGGAGAAACACCAAATTACTCCCTTATGGTAGTTATTCTGCTCAAAGTCGCTTCTACATTCTGGTTTTGCTCCCTTCTTTGCACAAACCAACATTGGGTCAGGCTTCCCCAGGACTGGGAATCCTGGCTTGTCCAGTCGACCCAACCTGGATAGCAAGCCAGCCAACTTTTCTTCCCTCCTTAAAACCCCGAATGATGGTCTATTGCTGACTCTATTGCTTATAATTCTGCCCCCCCAAATCCCGTGTCGGCAAATGACTAGGCCAAGGCAACCTTGTCTTAACCAGTGTAAAGCTAGCTTGGAACCTGGTTAGCTCTGTGTGTGTGTGTGTGTGTGTGTGTGTGTGTGTGTGTGTGTGTAGAAAGACTTGCCTGCGGTATCTGGGGCGGAATCGAGGGGCCGGGGCTCTCTCGCCCGCCTGGATCTGCTGAGGCTGGTCTCCTTCAGGCTGGGTAGCATCTTTGGGGTCTGTGCTGTCAGAGCCCTGGGAAGGAAGAGCAGGGTCAGAAGAAGAGGGTCAGAAGGGACCTCAAAGATCATCTGGCCCACCCCCGCTCAAACACGAGACCCTACACCATTCCACACAGAATAAGAAGAGTTGGAAGGGACTTCAGAGGTCAACTAGTCCACCCCTGCTCAATCAGGCCCTACGTCATTCCACACAGAATAAATTGGAAGGGACCTCAGAGGTCATCTACTCCACTCCTGCTTAATTAGGAGGCCCTATACCATTCCACACAGAATAAGAACAGAGTTGGAAGGGACCCTCAGAGGTCTTCTAGCCCACCCCTGCTCAAGCATGAGGCCTTACACCATTCCACACAGAATAACAGAGTTGGAAGTGATCTCAGAGGTCATCTAGCCCACCCCCGCTCAAGCAGGAGGCCCTACACCATTCCAAACAGAATACCAGATGAACGCAATTGGAAGGGATCTTGGAGGTCTTCTAGCCCACCCCCGCACAGGCAGGAGGCCCTATACCATTCCACGCAGAATAATAACGGAAGGAGTTGGAAGGGACCCCGGAGGTCTTCTAGTCCAACCCCTGCCTTCAACCCTATCCCAATTCCAGACGGGGCCCGGCTGAGAGCGACGTCCGGCCTCTGGTACAGGTGGAATTCCAAAGGGACCCCCAAACACCATCCAGAAGGGCCGCCATCAGCAAAACAGGGAGAGGAATCTCCGAGCCATGAAACGGCAACAGGGACAGGAGAGTCTGTTTTCAGGGGTCCAAACCCCCCCCCCCCATCCTGAAAAGTTTATTCCAAGAACGGTGCAAGGAACCAGCAAACAGCCTTCCCCACCCAGTTCCTCCCCCAAAAAACTGCACCCCGAAACCAGGGGAAAAGACGCCCAAAGCCAATTTCACGCCTCCTAACAGGGAGGACAGTTTAACCCGTGGAACTGCTTGCCACCAGAAGCGGTGGAGGTTCTTTAAG